CAGGTGAGTGGAGACTGAGGGACTCCGTCCTGAGTGGTGGTAGCCTCCTGACACTGCTCAGGGCCAGACTGAGGGGCGGCTGGGAGGACCACAGTCACAGGGTGGAAACTCAGCCAGGCTGGTCCTGGAGGATATGTTTGCTCAGCAGCAGGACGTCTGGGCCGAGGCGGGGACACAGCAGGCCGGGCGGGAGCACACGCGGCGGCAAGGAGGCAGAAGCCCAGGGAGCAGTGAGGTCCAGGGGTCCTGAGGGCAGAGGTCAGGTCAGGTTAGTGGAGACTGAGGTTCCCCGTCCTGAGTGGGGGCAGCCACCTGACACAGCTCAGGACCAGACTGAGGGGCGGCTGGGAGGACTACAGTCACAGGGTGAAAACTCAGCCAGGCTGGTCCTGGAGGATATGTTTGCTCAGCAGCAGGACGTCTGGGCCAAGGTGGGGACACAGCAGGCCGGGCCGGAGCACACGGGGCGGCAGAGCAGGGACATACAGGAGGATGGGCGGCAGCAGCTGGGCTGGCAGGAGGAGGCAGGGCCACAGCAGGAGGAGGCGGGCACGCAGCAGGCAGGCCTGCACACGGGGCGGCAGATGAGGGACACGCAGGAGGAGGGTCTGCAGCAGGATGAGGTGCAGGGGGTGGGCTGGCAGCAGGAGGAGGCCCCAGAGCAGACAGGCACACAGCACAGGGGCTTGCAGCAGACAGGTGTGCAGCAGGCGGGCACACAGCAGGCCTGCTGGCAGGGGGAGGAGGTGCAACAGGAGGGCTGGCAGCACAAGGACATGCAGGAGCTGGTGCAGGTTGACTGGCAGGGGCTTGGCCCACAGGTCGTCTGACAGCAGGGGCTGGACATACAGCTCACTGGGGTACAAACAAGGGTAAGGCAGGAGGTCGGGGTGCAACAGCTGGGGGCACAGCAGGTGGGGACACAGCAGCTGGAGGTGCAGCAGGAGGGCTGGCAGCAGCTGGGGACACAGCAGGTGGGGACACAGCAGGTGGAGGTGCAGCAGGAGGGCTCACAGCAGCTCTCTGGACAGTCGTCCACCTGCCAGGAGGAGTCCGGGCAAGAGTCACAGGAGCCGGGCAGGCAGGCACGGCTGCCATAGCTCAGGTCATTGGAGCAGACGGACAGGGTGGATGTGGCCATGGTGGGGCAGTGGGGCAGGAGGAGGGGGTGTGTGTGAGTGTGTGAGTGAGTGTGAGTGTGTAAGATGCCTAGGGCTGTTGGCTTTTATACCCTCCTGGTGTTTGTTTTCCAAGCAGGAGGCTCCCCACGCCTCCTTTCCTTGTTGATATTTTGAGCTGAGTCCTGGGCGCCCGTATTTCCTCTGGTTTATTTCCAGGAAAGAGTCTGCTGCTTGTAAAAAGTCTGTTTTGTTGAAGAGGGGCTTGGCCCCCTGCCCTGTGTGTGTTTCCTAAGCAAACACCCCTGGAAACATCTGGAGTGGGGGAGCGCTGGCAGCCCCACCTGCCCTGCCGTGCTCCACTGCCAGCTGTTCTCCCTGACGTTGCAAGGGATGGTTTGAATCCCAGAGTCAGAGGCTGGGCAGCAGGGGCTGAAATTGGCGCACTGCTGCTCATCGCTGCTGGACATCCCCACACACAGGCGGCTGAGGAGGGGGCACCAGCCACAGAGGAACGCAGTAAAGGGGAAGATAGACGGACGAGGGTCTCCAACAGCAAGAATGACAATAGCGTTGGCTATTTGAGCTCCTTTGCCTTTCTAAATACTTTTACATTCAGCTTATTGATAACAAAAAATAATTCTGCTGCTATTTTTATTGGGATTGCCTTGAATGTACAGATCAATGCGAAGGTAACTGACATCACAATGTCTCCACCCGTGAAGATGCTCTAATTCTCCATTTATTCATGTCTTCTTCGGTTCATTTCATCAGTGTTTTTATAGTTTTCATTATATTAGATTTATGCTATTTTTCATTTTTTATTTTGTTGTAAGTCATACTTTTAAACAAAAAGTTTGAAATACAATTATTTATTAATATTATATAAAGGTGGCAAAAGTAGGTTCAATTACCAGTCATCATTAGCTAAAGTATAAATCATAGGTAAGGATACAAAATAATAACAATAATAAGAAGGCAAAGAATACAAATCAATAATAAAATTATTAAAAAACAAACAACAACATAATAATAAGCTCTGTTTCATGTACTCATAACTGTAAATGTCCTTTTGCCTACCTCCGTATAGAACTGCAATTAATTATTATTATTTTAAGTTTGCATTCTTCAACCCTGCCAAACTCTTATATTTCCAGGAGACCTTTTGTAGATTCCTGGGGATGTGCTATGTGGACAATCATGTCCTCTGTGAATAGAGACCATTTCATTTCTTCATTACCAATATGCCTGCCTTTTACTTCTTTCTCTTGTCTTGTTGTGCTGGCTCAGACCCTCAGTATGAGGCTGAATAGTGTGGTGGGAGGGGACATCTGTGTCTTGTTCCTAGTCTCAAGGAAAAGTGTTGTCTTTACAATGGAGTGTGGTGTTGGCTGTGAGAGTTTCATAGATGCCTTATATCAAGTAAAGGATTTTTTGTTCATCCCGAGGTCACTGTAACCTTCAGAGGGAACTCTCCCTAACTCATCCTATACGGCCAGTATTACTCTGATACCAGAGCCAGACAAAGACACTACAAGAAAAGAAAGCTACAGGTCAATATCCCTTATGAACATTGATGTAAAAACACTCAAAAAATTACTAACAAATCAAATTTAGCAGCAGATTAAGAGATTTATACACTCACCCAAGAGAGATCTATTGCTGAAATGCAAGGATGGTTCTACATATGATAGTTGATCAGTGTAATATACAACATTGATAGAATGAGGAAGAAAATCTATGACCGTCTCAACTGATGCAAAAAAACCCTCCACATTTGATAAAATTCAACACACGTTCATGATAAAAATACTCAACAAACTAGAAATGGAAG